GGCCCTCACCAGCCTTCGGGGCCGTCAGAAAAAGACTCACGATGAAAACTGGTCCGGGGGAAAGGGTCTGGGGGTCGCGTCCTGAACAACAATATGACGTCTGCAGAGCGCCCCAGAGCGCCCCGCGACGGCCGCGGCGCCCGATCGGAACCCGATCCCCCCGCTGTCAACCGTCCAGCCTTCTACCATTTAGTTGTCTCACCCCCCCATGTCATCCATGCGCTATCCGCTGCCGTTTCGGGCCCCTGAGCCAGGGCGCCCTTGACTGGAGGTAATAGACATGCCTCCGAATCTCAATTCCCATCTGACCCGAAGCGATCCGAAATCGGCACCCGCCGCGCCGCGGCCAGCTTGGAGCTGGGCCCCAGGGCGGCGCCGCCGTGCCCCCGCCGCTATCCGCGCGCCAGTGGAGTCCACGCTCTCAGAGATCCGTCGTATTGTTTTCCAGTGGGGGCCCATGCCAAGAAACACCCTGCTTGCCTCCTGGGTGCCCTGGGCTTCTGGGTTTTCAGTGGTCTTTTGCGACGGAGGGCGCGACGCTCCCACGCCAAAACTTAACGAACGTCCTGGGTTCTCAGGGTTTGGGGCTTCTTGTGGAATGTTTCTATTGCGGACCGGCCTCCTCTTTTGCCGCGCTGAGGTGATAACCCCTCAAGGCTCAGGACGGGCCGCGTTTTTTCGGGCCAGAGGAGGAGGAGGAGGAGGAGGAGGAGGAGGAGGAGGAGGAGGAGGAGGAGGAGGAGGAGGAGGAGGAGGAGGAGGGATAATCTCTTCGTTGCCGTGGCTCGCCGGGCTTCTTGCGGAAGGTTTCTTGCGGAACGGCCTCCTTTGTGCTCACTGCGAGCTCCCCGGAGGCCCCGAGCAGCAGCTCTCCGGGGGCCCCCCCGGGAGGCCGAGGACGCAGCGCTGCGCCGCCTCCGAGGCCTGCCCGTTCCGGGGATCGCTGGCTGTCTGGGCCGCCGCACCGCTCCCCCCTCTTGTTGGGTCGGGCCTGGCCCCGTGCAGGGGGATTTTGGGCGGAAAAAAGCAGATAGCCCCAAAATGTTCAAAAGATGCCCAAACATATTAAAAGAATAGTCCCCAGACTTTTTTTTTTTTTTGAAGATTCCCCGACCTACTCCTCTTGTCATCGGGGGCGGCAACGAGGGGGGTGATGATCAGAGAAGAAAGGGTACCCATACCGCTACCCCTCGCCCGTTTTCCCCTCTGGGGGCCTCCTGGGATGCCCTGTCGCCACCGCTGGATCCGCCTCGGTCAGAACGCACCCCTGGAGAGGTCCGGGGAGTAGCGGTATGGGTACCTTGCGGTTTCCCCAGATGACTACGGGGGGGTGGATTTTATGGCGTGTGCCATGATTTTTTGTCAGATTTCATGGCGCCTCCTCTTATTTCATTACGTCCCTGGCCGCCTCACCCTTGGGACGCGCACATGCCGCCGGCCATGATTTGCACCCCCCCCTCTTGGACCCCCCCCCTCTTGGCCGCCCCCGATGTCAGGAGCGAAAGAAGGACGCACGCGGAATCACGTGAATCCACGCTGGTTTCGAGAGTTCGCACTGCGCGAATGCTCGTGTCACGCGGCCGGTCTCGCGGGTCAAGGGGCCGTGTTCATGTACACAGCTGGGCGCATACGCCCTTTGTGGGCTCCCTACTCTGCGACCGTCCACCCTTTGCCTCCCGCTTTCCTCTCTGTGCACTTCGCCCAGCGGCGTCCCCGCGGAGGCTACTGACCAGGTGCGCATGCGCCACCGCTGTGACCAAAAGCTGTGTTCGTCAAGACGTTGGAATTGAGTCGGGCGTGTCCCTCTACGGGAGGAATATTCAAAAATAGTAAAAACATAGTCTGGGGGCGATTGTCCGACTATTTTTGATTCTTTTTGGGCATTTTCGACTTTTTTTTTCGTCCAAAATCCGCCTGTAGGAGGACACACCCGACCTAAGTTTAGTCGGCTACTGACCGAGTGCGCATGCGCCACCGCTGTGATCAAGCAGGCTGTTCGTCATCACGTTGTAAGTTTGGGGAGGTCTGAGGTCCGCGATCCCCTCCACCCGGCTGGCCTCAGGTGATGAGCAGGCCCAACTTCTCCACGCGCGGCATCGAGGCGTGTCCAGCCGCGCCCGCGCCCCTCTGCGACTGACCCAACAAGCAGGGGTCGGGGAGGCGGGTTACGAGAATCAGGGCGGGCGGGTACCATGTCCCAGGGATGATTACGGTGACGATGAGGATGAAGCCTGGATTGTCAGGGTCCCTGCCCTTCGGTTAACACCAGGGTCCCTGATGCCTCCAGCTCGTGGCACCTTCCCGAAGTTGCGCTCCCAGGGGTTCAGTTGCATCATGTCAACCAGTGTATGTTTGGTTCTCGGCGCCTCAAGCCCACCACGCTTCCGGCTGTGCATCTGGGTTCTGTGAACACTACTTGCAGCCAACAGGGCGAAGGGGCCTGTACACGCACGGGCACCCACATCCTGAATTTACTGGGTTGGGGGAAGCTGGCTTATGGCGCACATCTCACGCTAAGACCTATCTCTCGGCTTTCTGCACGTTCTTGGCAGCTTCGCTCCTTCAGGAGATTCGCGCCAGGCTTCCCAGGATTTGCTTGGATGCTGCCCCCCCTCGCGTTTCGTTTGATGATCTTGTTAGGCCCCGCCCCTGCTGGTTTTGAGCAGATGAGCGTATGTTGAGATCTCTCGCAACTCTCGCCGCCGACTGACGATTGGGAGCTACCTCAAGGGTTACGGAAGTTCGTAGCACCGTGTGGCCCGTATATTGTTTCCGGTATGGTTATGTGTTGCATGTTTCATTTCCACGGTGATGGTGTTTGCGGTATTTTCCACGACGGTATGTTTTCTCCTTCTCCCTCCTCGTCCTTTCAGTGGTGCGTAAGTTTAAGAATTTCGTGTTCTACAGATGAGCACGAAGGGTAAGGGGGGCAAGGAGTCGCCAGAGTCAAGACCCGACCTTTGCAGGCGACGCCTACTGTTGCTAGGCAGTACGTCCCGTGTAATGGGGGCCCCCAAGGATCTCGCTGCCCCTTGTTGGCGAGTAGTGCTCTATTTTGGAGGGGAAGATGTCGTTCCTATTCTGGAAGCGTGCCCAAACATTCTGCTCAGGACGTCTGCGCCACGAGTTAACCTGGCTGGCACGCCTTGGCGGTCCTGAATCGTGCCACAACACCATTCCTGGGACTTCAACACCGCGAATCAGCCTAATTGTTGTGCCCTGGCAGTCTTGAATCGGCCTTGAAACGCTTGCGATTTTTCAAAACGAATGCGCGCGGCGCTAAGGCGAGAGCCACATTCTGAACATGAGCCTTCCTCAATCCGTGAAGCCTTTATACAGTTTGACAACGAATGTGCGCGGCGCTACGAGACCCACATTGTGAAACGAAGGAGCCGCCCTCAGTCCGTGGGCTCCTGCAAGTTTCTAAAACGAATGCGCGCGGGGCTAAAGAAAGAGCCACAGTTTGAGCACCACCTGCCCTCAATCCGTGAAGCTCTTGCAACTGTTAAAAACGAATGTGCGCGGCGCTATGGCGAGAGCCACTTTTTGTACACGATACGTTCTCAATCCGTGAGGTGTCACACATTTTGAAAACGAATGTTCGCGGCGCGCAGGCGATAGCTACATTTTGAACAGCAGCCGCCCTCAATCCGTGAAGGTCTTGGAAGTTAAAAAAAGAGTGTGCGCGGCGCTCAGGCGAGAGCTACATTCTGCACAAGAGCCGACCTCAATCCGTGAAGGTCTTGCACATTTTGAACACGAACCTGCGCGCTGCTAAGGCGAGAACCACATTTTGGAAAGGTGCCGCCCTCAATCCGTGTAGCTTTTGCAAATGTTGAAACCGAATTTGCGCGGCGGTAAGGCGAGAGCCACATTTTGAAAACCATCCGCTCTCAATCCGTGAAGCTCTCGCCAACTTTGAAACGGAATGTGTGCTCCGCTAAGGCGAGAGCCATATTTTGAAAAGGAGCCGCCCTCAATCCGTGAAGCTCTTGAACTTTGTTCAATACGAATGTGCGCGGCGCCCAGGTGAGAGTCACATTTTGAAAACGACCCGCCCTCCATCTGCGAAGCTGTTGCCAATTTCTAAGTTTCAGGGTCGTAAATGGTGAGGACATCTTAGGCGAAACGCCTGGCCCGCCCTTACGACTGGCCTCGGGGTGCGACAGGGAGGGGTTATTTATAATAAGGAAAACGACAGGAGGAGAAGAAGAAAGGAGGAGGAGAAGGAGGAGGAGGAGGACCATTGTCGCCATGGTCAAATTCATGCCTCCTCCTCCTGCGTGCCCGAAGGCGCGCCCCAAATCCCGCCCCCCCTCGGAAAGTCGCGGCCAGACGAGCTGCGCCATCATGAAGCCACGTGGTGCCAGAAGCCAACGCAGGAGTCGCCACGACACGGCCATGCCGTACGGTAGGTTCACGTCGTGTCGACCGGCAGCGTCCCCGCCGCCAGCGTTCAACGTGGAACGCCGCTGGCGATCCAGAATCGTTCTACGTGGACCGATCCGACGTCTCGGACACGGCCGATCGCTCCTCCTCCTTCGCCTCCGCCTCCTCCTCCGCCTCCTCCTCCTCGTCCTCCTCCTCGTCCTCCGCCGCCTCCGCCTCCTCCGCCTCCTCCTCCGCCTCCTCCTCCGCCTCCTCCTCCCGTTCCTCCTCCTGACCTCTTCCGCGCGGGCCTCGGGCGTCCCGGGGCCTCGGGCGATTGTGCGGGGGGGCCCAGTCGAGCGATGCCCGCGGTGCCAGCAGCCAGCGCACGAGTCCCCACGCCGCGGGCCTGCCGCACCGCCGTCGCCACCTGCCCTTTCATCCCCCCCCTCCTGTGCGTGCCCGAGGACCGCGCCCCCTACGCGCCCCGCCGCTCCTCTTGGCCCCCCCCCCCACCCTTCACTCTTAGGGTCGGGCACGTCCCTCTGCGGGACATGGTAGAACAAAATACAGTGTGGGGACGATGTGTCGAGTGTTCCCGGATCCTGTCTGAGCATGTTCTGACCAGGGGACGACGCTTCGATGGTTCCTGGATTCTGCCTGCGTGTGTGCATGACTCTTCTCTATTCGCCCTCGGAGATCCGCCTGCAGGGAGGACGTGCCCGACCCGGCTCCACGCCAAGACCTCTGGCGCCCCGGCTCCTGTCGCTGCGTGGGCACCCGGGCCCTCGACCAGCCTTCCTCCAGGGGGGCCGGGCTTCCGCCCCCGGTGCCTCGCCGGCGAAGGGGGGAAGAACAGGAGTGCGTCCACGGCACGCCGCCGCCGGGGGAGCCCGTCCGCAGGTGGCCCGCGCCCGTTTCTGTGTTTAATATATTAGTATTGTGTTGCTTGTTTTTGTTTTTTGTTTTTCGTTTTTGTGTTTGTGTGTGTGTGTGTATGTGTCCGAGGGCACCGTTTTTTTAGTGTGTTTAATGTTTAAAAAGCTCTTTGATATATTACTATTGTTTTGTTTGTTTTTGTTTTTTTGTTCGTTTGTGTGTGTGTGTGTGTTTGAGTTCCAGGGCACCGTTTTTTTAGGCCGTGGAGCGCTGATGGCTTCCCCACGGCGGCGTTTCTCCAGGCCTCCTGGATGGGGTCGGAGCAGATGGAGTCCCAAAAGACCGCGCCGCATCGCCGAGGCATCGCCTCAGCGGCTCGGTGCGGAGCCCGATTGGCTTCGCGCCGACGTCGCCGATGCATCGCCGACGTCTCTGATGCATCGCCGATGCATCGGCGATGCGGCACGATCCTCCGACCCGACCCCATCTACTCCGACCCCTATCTAGGAGGCCTCTGGAAGCGCTGATGATCTTCCCGCGGCGGCGCGTTTCTGCTTCCCCAGAGTAAGAGTCATGATGTTTCAACTTACTTTAGCCGTGTTCACTGGAAAGAATTCCGAGTACCCAGGAAATAGCGAAACTTGAGGATTTTCAAGTGTTGGGCCCGGAGAGGCGATACTCGTTCGACGCTGATTCGATATTTTTCTGGGTGCTCGAGATTGTTTCTCGGATGTGCTCTTTGAGTACGATGGGAGCAACATATCAGGCGATCGCAAACATGATCAATGGGGCGTGGATTAGCGACGTGTCCCGTTCCCATGGGAAATCGCGGATTGTTCGCCGACCGAGCCGGCACCAGCCGCATTTTGGGGAGGGCACCTCCCCCGATCCATGGACTAGGCGACCGCGCGCCGAATCCATGGATCGCGAATCCATGTCTGCGCGCCCCCGAACAGAACCCCGGAGTCGCTGTTTTCGTTTCGACGTCAAGGGAGGAAAAACCACCCGCACTGGACAATGGGCGTTTACTCAACGGCCTGGGGCGTTTGCTGAACAGCCCTGCCCTGTTCGATTCCTCCAGCGGGCGCGTTTAGCAAACGGCTTCGCGTGTGGGGGCGGCTATTCTGGGGGGGGATGTTTTGCCCTCTACGACGGCCCCGCGGGCCCGTGATTTCACGGAGAGTCTTCGGGGGTGGACAGACCTCCTACCCTGACACGTCGATTAAGGAATTGGCCGTTTTCCCTTCGCGAGGGGGTGTCGCGGCCGTCACCTTTGCGGGCCCAGGCCAGTCGGTTTCGGTCTCCCAGGCCGTTTTCACTGAGGGGAGGTTTACGAAAGGGAGGTTTGGCCACCGCCGATTCACGGAGAGTCCCTGCGCCGCAGGGGCCGCGGGGCTCCCGTTCCCAAAGGCGCGCCGCGCCCCCCCTCCTTGATTTAAGTCGGGCGTGTCCCTACAGGGGGATTTTCGACGAAAAATTAAACATACCCCAAAAATGCCCCTCAAAAGGCAAAAAATATTCAAAAAATAGTCCCAAGACTATGTTTGGACTATTTTTTATTATTTTTGGTGTATTTCGTTACTTTTCGTCGAAAATCCCCCCGAAGGGGGGCAGACCCGACTTAGTCCTTGATGGCTGCGGCCACGCCCCGCGGAGCGCGCAGCGGGGCCCGACCGCGCTGCGCAGAGGCAAAAGCGTTGGGTCGGGCCTGTCCCTCCACAGCTGTGGAGGTCGATCATAATGGTCAGACGGCGAGAACTCCCCCCCACCCCCAGAGAAGCTACAGAGCTGCTCGGCACAGCACTCGAAATGAATTCCAGAGAAGCGCTAGTCTGAAGTATCTAGATGCATGAACTCGGTCTGCTACACGAGCTGAACCCCAAAAAACTATTGGTACTTTGCTGATTTTTTAAAGATGCTGACGCCCATCCCCGAGCCGGCGATTCAAGGGGCCCGGACTGGGGGTGGGGGTGGGTTTTCTCCATTCCTGGACCCCGAAAACCCACTCCCACCCCCAGTCCCGACTCCTTGAATCGATGGGTTCGGGGATGGAGTCGGGACTGGGGGTGGGGGTGGGTTCTCGCCTTCTCATAATGGAGAGGAAGCATGCTGCCAAATAATTTCCAGATGTCTAAAACATGTTTCAACCATGTTTTGAATATGTAGAACCATGCTTGAAACGTTGTTTGAACGTGTTTACACATTTTGAACACATCTGTAATTCAATGACAGGATTGTTAGAGTGTCCATCCATTGTCATGGCATCCACAACTCTACAGGGGAATGTATTCAAACATAGGCAAACGAATAGTCTGGGGACAATGTTTCCATTTTTTTTTCAACATTCTTGAATCGTATTTGTTGAGCATACTTCGTCCAAAATCCGCCTGTAGGGGGACATGCCCGACCTAATTCAAGCGAGGACACATCGCGCCCCCCCCCCCTCTGCGGCGAGGGATGGGGGGGCACGAGAAGGCGCATGCCTTCCCAGAGGGCGGCGGGACTCCTCGGAAGCCCTCGCGCCGCCTGAGAGGCTCCCTGTGCGTCTTCCAGGGAAGCCTCGGAACGCACCTCTGAGGAGGCCCGGGGGGCTGCCGAGCCCTCTGAGAAGGCCCGCCCCTTCTCGCCTCCCCCCTCTTCAAGGCCCGGCGCCGACCCCCGCCTGCCTCGCGGCAGGGGGGACGCACGGAGCCAGGCCACCTCCTGGGGGCGCGAAGACGCTCGCGCCTCGCGCGACGGCAGCCGCGTGTCGCGCGCCGCTGGTCGCGCTGCGCGACGCCTCAACGGTCGGGAGCTTCGGGATATGGCTTGTCGCTCCGCTGGCTCTGGCCCACCACGCCTCTCACCACCCACCAAGCCACCCCAACCCAACCCGAAGGCTCCCAGTGGCCCTCCATGTCCAGAGGGGGGGGGGGGTCGAGGAACGTCGAACAAACACGCATGGAACCCGTACCCCCCCCAACCCGCAATCCGAGCCTTCGGGCTGGGTTGGGGCCCACTTCCGGGTCCCTCCGCGCCAGCGTCCCGAGCAGTTGGCGACCCCCCACCTCGCGACGAGGCGCCACGCGCTGTCCACTCGCGAGGCATGGCGCGTCGCCGGGGCCGCCGTGGCGGCACGCTCTCCGGGAGCTCCCGGTCGCAGGTGGCCGGGGCGAGCTGCCTCTGGCGGCCCCGTGGCCCGAAGCGCCGGCCTCTCGGGCAGCCGGCCCGCCGCCCCCCTTGCCCTGCGGCTTGGCATCGCTCGGACGTGTGCGTCTTTCCCTCGGCGAGGACCATCGGGGAGCATCCTTGATCGTTTGGCGAGCAAAAGCCACGCACGGAGCCGACAACAAAAGAACACAGGGACTGGAGGTCCGAGCGATGGCCAGTCGGCGTGACCCCAACATACTGATACTGGGTGTGCGTCGCCCCCCCAGGGGGCGACGCGCGCACCGAGAAACCTTCTAGTAGATGCGTCGTAGCGGGCGCTTTCTGGCCACACCGCTCCGGAAACGATGCACTACTACAAGATGGGTATACTGTATGCTCGGGTCGGACGCGCGCCTCTGAGGAGGACATGTAGTATTTTATGTCTCTGTGCGTCTCATACCTGTGCCCAGTGCTCGCGGGCAGAACGCACGCGTCCACCGCCGCGGCCTTGCGGGCCGGGCCCCTGGGCCGCGAGCCCGCGGACACTGGGCGCGTTTCTTCGCGTATACCCCGTCGCAGGGCTTGTTCTCGACTCCTCAGGCTCGATTGGGTTCGATGTTGATCAATTCCGACGCCGACTCGATTCGACCTCGGATTCCGATTGGGGCCTCGGTTTCTCAATGGAGGTTTTACTAGCCTTCCGACTCATCGATTCGACCTCTCCAGATTTGGCCGCCGATTTCTGCCGACCCGATTCGTTTAGATCGACGATCCGACTTTTCGATTCGATTCTGGGCTCTCCTGCCCGCGCGGAACGTGTCCGTGCGACCGCGCATCCGCGAGGTCGGTCCCCAAAGCCCATCGGCCACGCGCAGAGGGGAGAAGGGGGAGGGGGGAAGGCTTCTAAGAAACAGCCTCCTTCAAAGCAGCCTTCCCCCCCCTCCCCCCATACTCTCGGATGCGTCGCCGAGATCTGAAGGATTCTCTCGGCTTCTGAGGGCACATCCCTAAGGTGTTGTCGCTGGTCGACCTTTGGGGATACTCTAGGCCTCCCAGACGGGTTCGGAGTAGATAGGGTCGGAGGATCGCGCCGCATCGCCGATGCATCGGCGATGCGGCTCGAGGTGGAGACAGATCTTCACCGCCCTGATTCCGCCTCTGCGTCGCTGACGTGGCCGATGCACGGCTGAGCGATGCGGCGAGATCCTCCGGGAGGAGGAGGACGAGGAGGAGGAGGAGAAGGAGGAGGAGGAGGAGGAGGAGGGGGCGGAGGCGGAAGAAGAGTAAGAATAGGAAGAAGAAGAAGAAGAAGAAGAAGAAGAAGAGACGGAACAACATACTAATAATAACAAGAAACAGAGGCGGAGGAGGAGGAGGAGGAGGAGGAGGCGGAAGAAGAAGAGGCGGAGGAGGAGGACGAGGAGGAGGAGGAGGAGGCCCTCTGCTCCGACCTCATCTGGGAGGCCTCGAACCGCAGGGTTGGAGACCAGCTCGAGGCCTGCCATAGCCCCGCTCTGTGGCCGACGGCGCCGGAGGTCCAGCGCGTCCGGCGGGCTGTGCGGGCCGCCGCCATGCCGCTCTCTCGCGCCGCCGCCTCGTCCGCCGCGCCCCTGGCTGCGCGCGCCCCGCTCGGAGCGGCCGCTGGCGGCGGTGGCGGCGGCGGCGGCGACGGCGACGACGATCGCGGTGACGGCGAAGACGACGGCGGCGACGGCGACGGCGGCGGCAGTGACGGCGACGGTGGCAGCGGCGACGGCGACGGCGGCGGTTGTGACGGCGACGGCGGCAGCGGCGACGGCGACGTTGCTGCTTGGCCGCCGTTTGGATCGCTCACGGCCGCCGACCAACAAAGTGCTTGCCGTTTTTTCCTCTTAATTTCCCCCCTTTACAGGCAGCACCAAAGGGGTCTGAGTAGATGGGTTTGGAGGATCGCGCCTCATCGCCGTTGCGTCGGCGGTGAGGTTCGATTCGGAGCTTGATTTTGTCCATCCCGAGGTCGCCGACGAATTGCCGATGCAGTGCGATCCTCCGACCCCATATGCTTCGACCCCGTCTGGGAGGCCTCCACTCTCTCTCACGCTCTCTCTCGTGGCTCTTTTTTCTCAAAAGCACGTTCTTCTGTCAATCTTTCTATTTCTGTGTGTGTGTGTGTGTGCGTTTTTTTGTTTTTTTGTTGTTTTTGTTTTTGTCTCTCTCTCTCTCTCTTCCTCTGTTCCTCCCCCGATCAACGCACCCCTCCCTCTCTCTGTCTTCTTTCCCTTCCTCTGTGCATATAGATATGTCTAGATAGATATTTGCGTGTAGGTCAGAGTGCGGGGGCCGAACGGTCATTCACTGACCCTGGGTGTGTTGTTTGGTGTTTGTTTGTTCGTTTGTTTGTTTATGTGTTTGTTTGTGTTTGTGTGTGTACTTGCTTGTTGTTGTCATGCTGCTGCTGTTGCTGTTGTATTTGCAGTTGTTGTTGTTGCTGCTGCTGTTGTTGTGGTTGTTGTGGCTTGGTTTGTGTTATGTTGCCTTGGTTTGTTTTGTTGTTGTTTTGGTAGTAGTTGTCGTTGTTGTTATCGCCGTTGTTTTGTTGTTGCTGTTGTTGTTGTTGTTGCTTTGTCGTTGTTGTTGTTGGTGTTGGTGTTGTTGTTGCTGCTGCTGCTGTTGCTGTTGCTGTTGCTGTTGCTGATGTTGGTATTGTTATTGCTATTGTTGTTGTTGCTGTTGCTGTTGTCGTTGTCGTTGTCGTGGTCGTTGTCGTTGTCGTTGTTGTTGTTGTTGTTGTTGTTGTTGTTGTTGTTGTTGTTATTGTTGTTGTTGTTGTTGTTGTTGTTGCCGTCGTTGTCGTTGTCGTTGTCGTTGTCGTTGTCGTTGTCGTTGTCGTTGTCGTTGTTGTTGTTGTTGTTGTTGTTGTTGTTGTTGTTGTTGTTGTTGTCGTTGTCGTTGTCGTTGTCGTTGTCGTTGTTGTTGTTGTTGCTGCTGCTGCTGCTGCTGTTGTTGTTGTTGTTGCTGTTGTTGTTGTTGTGGTTGTTGTTGTTGAGTGTTGATGATGGAACAATTAATTGGACCCCCCCAGGCGCTTTGTCGCTCTCGCCTTGGCGCCAGCTGCATTTTCATTGAAAATGAGGCTCACGCTCGAGCGGTTTGGGGGGGTGCCAAAACGGCCCCCCCCAACAAGAACAACAACAACATCGCTCCCGCTCGAGACGTTCTCCTTTTTTACTCAGGGCTGGTGCTCCTGCTCGCCGCTGAAAGCCGCCGTCCCAGCAAAACCAGCGCTACCGCTCGAGACTTCCTCCTGTTTTACCTTGGACTGGCGCGCTGCACTTTCTCTCATCGGCGCCGCCCCCAGCAACAACAACGCTCCCGCTCGAGACGTCCTCCCTTTTTTTACCCAAGGCGGTGCTCCTCGTCGCCGCCGGCAACCGCCGCCCCGACAAAACCAGCGCTCCCGTCCGAGACTTTCTCCCGTTTTACGCTGGACTGGCGCCCTACTCTCTTATGAATTGGCGCCGCTCCCAGCAAAAACAACGCTCCCGCTCGAGGCTTCCTCCCTTTTTCCTTAGGACGGTGCTGCTCCTCGCCGCCGACAGCCTCCGTCCCGACAAAACCATGGCTCCCGCTCGAGATTCCCCCCCTTCTTACTCAAGGCGGCGTTCCTCCTCGCCGCCGACAACTGCCGTCCCAACAAAGCCAGCGTTCCCGCTCGAAACTCCGTTTTGTTTTACGCTGGACTGGCGCCCTACTGTCTTCAGCATTGGCGTCGCTCCCAGCATCAACAGCGGCCCTGCTCGAGACTTCCTCCCTTTTTATTCAGGGCCAGGTCCTTGCCTCGCCGACGACAGCCCCCATCCCTACCGAGGCAATCCTGTCGCTCGATACTTCCTTGTGCTTTACCTTTGGCTGGGGCGCCACTGACGGTCTCGCATCGGCGCAGCAAGGCCCGGGCATGTGTTCTCGAGGCGGGATCTGTTGAAATTCCTCGGAGGAGGTGTTTGCAAGACCTCATTGGGCGGGAGATCTGGGAATGAGAATAACGGATCCCGCTATAGAACAAGAGTCCCGCATGTTGGGGATGGTTATCACGGTAGTCGCATGCTTCGTGTGGAGGCATCGCGCATGAGGGCCGCATGATGGTTGTTATTGTTGAACATTATTTATTCTAAAGAATAATTATTGTTGGGCCCCCTGGTGCGCGCCCCCCCTGCGCCGCCTAGGCCGCAGCTACATTTTCATCATTTTCGTGAGGAAGCCTCAGAAAAGAGGGTGTGTACAGGATCCGGTTGTTTTGTTGTAATCCGCTTTCCCTTGCAAAAAACAATAGAAAATGACATTTCTTGTTCTAATATAATCAAATTTCAAGAATCCCTTGCAAAAAATAAGGTAAAGTGGACATTCGCGCGCGCAAGACGAAATCCTTCCAAAACCTTAGTGTTCGCAGCGATTTTAACATAAAAACATCAAAAAACCAATGGTTTTTCAACAAAAAATTGTCAAAATCTCATCCCGCGCGCTCTTGCGGATTCGTAGGAAACCCAACACTTTTTAAACATTTCTGTCAAACGGGCTTTTGCGAGCAACTTTTTCGAACTTCTGCGACAACGGTTGCGCACCTGCCAGGGCCATCATCCCTGTCAAATAATACCATGCGGGACACATTCGTTTTTTCTTCGCGCGCGCACGCCGTCGTCGTCGGCCGCGGGGCCCTGAATAGTAGCCACGGTCGTCCGCATGCCACGAAGTGAAGTGTCCGAACGTCATAGGGCGGGAAGCTGGGTGTGGGTGGTGGCGAAGAGTCGTTTGGAAATTTGGTAGAGCTTGAACCGGCCCCCCCACAAAGTGGGGGTATTGCCCGCCTCCTATGAAAACCCTGGCACTGGTGAGAACGGAGTGTCCCCACGTGCTAGTAATTGTTGTTGTTGTTGTTGTTGTTGTTGTTGTTGTTGTTGTTGTTGATGTTATTGTCGTCGTCGTCGTTGTTGTTGTTGTTGTTGTTGATGATGTTGTTTTTGCTGGTTGTTATAATCATTGTTGTCCCCCCTCCGGTGACCCTTTGTGTTTTTTCAATTGATGTGCTTCTTTCTTGGGCTCGCACCTTGTTTTTAAACAAGGAGAGTCACGAGGGTCAAACTCCGTTGTTGGCCACCGGATTACAACAACAACGGCTCCCGCCAGAGTTTCCTCACAACTTGGCTAGGACCCCCGCTCGCGCCTGGGACTTATTCGCATTTTACTCAGGGATCGCGCTCTCGCTTGGGACTTCCTCACAATTTACTCAGGCATCGCTCTCTCGGCGTTCTGGAATCGCGCTCTCGGTGGGGATGCGCTTGCGATTTACTCAATGCGCTGCGCCGCAACGCAAGATCGAGAGACGCTTCGCAGTCATTTATTCAAGCGCCGCGCTGCCAAACACTCAGGCATCCAGGAGTCGCGCTCATGCTAAGAATTCCTTCACATCCTAATTCGGCATCAAGTTCTCGCTGCCCTTCGTGGCCCCGTTGCAGCCTTTCGCGGCCCCTTTGCTGCCCTTCGTGGCCCCGTGGCAGCCCTTCGTGGCCCCCTCGCTGCCCGTCGTGGTCTCGTTGCAGCCCTTCGCGGTCCTCTCGCCGCCCTTCGTGGCCCCGTTGCAGCCCTTCGTGGCCCCTTCGCTGCCATGTGTGGCCCCGTTGCAGCCCTTCGTGGCCCCTTCGCTGCCCTTCGCGACCCCGTTGCAGCCCTTCACGGTCCCCTCGCTGCCTTTCGTGGCCCCGTTGCAGCCCTTCGTGGCCCCCTTGCTGCTCTTCGTGGCCCCTTTGCAGCCCTTCGTGGTGGTTTCAGCGGGACGATGCGGAGGCATGCGCATCGGGCCTCGGAGAACAGGTGCAGGGATCTCTGGAGGGGGTAGCGCCCGCCCGCAGCTGGACCCCGCGGGGCGGTGGCACACGGTGCACGTCGATCCGGTCGATCCGACTCGACCTCGATTGCTGCCGGCCCGACCCGCCCGCATTCCGAGGACCCTTTGCGGCCCGCTGGTTCCGTGGCGCTGTTGTGCATCCTGGCGCGGCCGATCCTGGTTCGATTCCGACGCCAGGCCGAGGCGGCCGAACATGACGGGCCTGTTTTCCACCACCGCCACCACCACCATGAGTTGGAGGGGGCAAGGAGGTGGAGGAGGAGGGGGAGGAGGAAGAGGAAGAGGAGGAGGAGGGCCCCCCCCTCCTACCTATGGTGGTGGCGGTGGGAAAGACGCCCACCAGAACACGGCGCGCGTCTGGATCCGAGGCGATGTCCCGATGGCTGCCAGCCGATCCTGCCCTCCTGGCCGAGCGGGCCCCGGAGGGCGGCACCGCGCTGTGCGGCTCGGGGTTCCCGCGGGGCACCGATCCGCACGAGGGCGGTGCACCATGGCATTTCTTTTTCGACCCTTTTCTCGTTTGCCATGTCTCGGGGAACGAAGAACGACGTACACATGCAAACTCGGAGGTCCGCGCGGATTTCTCGGATCCGCGCTGGAGCCCCCCTGGCGGCGCCTCCTGCGCGGCTCCTGGCGCGCTCCGTGCGTCAGGGAGGGGGGTCCAGCGCCAGTCCGAGAAATTCGCGCGGACCTCCGAGTTTTTTTATGCTTATGCCATTGTTCGTTCCCCTAATATCTGGGCCCAGGGACCGATCCTCCGGCCCCCTCTGGTCAAACCAGCTCACGTATTGCAGCGTTTCGGCAGTGGGTTGGTGTGCGTAAGCGTCCTCACCAGGACCGGCCACTGCCCCTTCAGCACCAGATATTCTGGGGCTGGCCGACGCTGTCAAGAGTCTTGGGGGCGACACCTTCAGAGGGTTCCCATATGCAGGGCTTCACTTTCGTGTGCTGCCACGTGGGCAAGAGAACGACACTTTGCCTGGGGCCGGCTTTTCATCCTGAACCGTTTTCTCGGGCGGCCCTTCTGGCGAGGGTCCCCATAGGCAGAGAACGGTGAACACTTCCGTCTTGCGTTTCTTTGGTTGTTTGTTTTCATTTTTGTGTATATATTTACAGTTTTATGAAACAATCAAAAACAATAACTAATCAACAATAATACAACCCACATAGGTATACCATCTTTGTAATACCACGGAGACTGGCTGGGACCCTGGGCTGAAGCTCGATTCACTCCTTCTCCTTTCCTGAGTTGCCCCCTGGCCAGAACTCCCAGGGCGAAGTTGGCCGTGGCGACGATGCGCTTCCCCTGAAGGGCCCCCACCAAAGCTCCAAAAGCTCCCTCTCGATCCGATACGATCTGATCCTCATTGAGTCGGGCCTGTCCCTCTACAGGAAGGATCAAAAACGAAATAGTCAAAACAAGTAGGCTGGGAACGATTTTTCGATTATTTGTTGAGAATGTTTGAGCTTGTTTTGGTATTTGCTATTTTCCTTCAATATCCGCCTGCAGGGGGACATTCCCGACCCAATCCTCGCCCCCTTCTTCTCGATCCTGGGTTCCTGGTCCCCTCCGATCCGACCGTCGCCCCTCCTCGATCCTCAGTCCTCGACCCGATCCGATCCTCGCCCGCCCTCCCCTCGATCCCCGATCCTCGCTCCTCCATCCTCGACCCGATCCCATCCTCGCCTGCCCTCCCCTCGATCCCGGGTCCTCGACCCTCGGTCCTCGATCCCACCCTCGCCCGCCATCCCCCCGATGCTCGATACTCGATCCTCGAGCCTACATCCTCGGTCCTCGATCCGAGCTTCGCCCGCGCTCCCCTCCCCCGAAGCCCCCCGCCCTCTCGGCCGAGGCGCCGCCGCCGGGACGCCCCGGTCCCGCCGCAAGGGCGGCCGGGCGGCGCTCGTCCGCAGCGGCCGTGGGCCATCCACATCCCGCCAGACACCTCCCTGGAGGGGCTTTTCGCGAATGGGGGATGGGGGGCCGAGCGAGGCTCGGGGCGGAGGGAGGCTAGGAGGAGGGCCTCTCTCCTCCCTCCCTCCTCGTTTGCCCAGCGGGAGGGGGAGTGGTACTTCCTCTTCCTCCTCCTCCTCCTCCTCGCTGGGCTAGGGGGCTAGGGGGAGAAGAGGAGGAGGAGGAGGAGGAGGAGGAGGAGGAGGAGGAGGAGGAGAGGAGGAGGGGAAGGGGAATGGGGGGAGAGGAGGAGGAGGAGGAGGAGGAGGAGGAGGAAGAGGAGGAGGAAGAGGAGGAGGAGGAGGCGCTGGAGGAGGAGCTGGATCGGGAGCAGGAGCAGGAGCAGGAGCAGGAGGAAGAGGAATCAGAGGAGGAGCAGGAGCAGGAGGAGGAGGAGGAGGAGGAGGAAGAGGAGGAGAAGGAGGAGGAGTTGGAGGAGGAGGTGGATCAGGAGCAGGAGCAGAAGCAGGAGCAGGAGCAGGATGATGATGATGATGATGATGATGATGATGATGATGATGATGATGATGATGATGATGATGATGATGATGATGTTGCTGATGATGCTGATGATGCTGATGATGCTGATGACTACGATGGTGATGATGACGATGATGGTGATACTGATGATGCTGTGATGAT